TCCAGACTTCAATGGGGTGTCAACAGCTAGTTGATTGTCTCGTACAGTTAACAGTTGGCGCCGTACACATCCATGGCCTTTCATTAAGTTGAAAATAAACATATGCAACAACTTCACATCTGAAGTCCGAGTTTAATTATGATGTTAGTTGAAATGACCCAGGTCTCGTGTCTGTTCTTAGTAGCGGCTATTTGGCAAACTTTTAAAATTATTTTTCAAAAGATTGCTTTTAGTCATAGGGGCGTAGGCAGCACGTAGTTAACATGTTCAATTGAATTCATAACTTTTGATGTATATGTACTAGTAAAATATAACAGATTTCAAGTGGAATAATCAATCGAGGTACGCGACAAGAAATGACGGAGTTAAAAATTGCGATAAGGGGAATAAATAAAAGTTTGTGATCTATATATAGAAAGGTTTGTTTTACCTTCTGTATTCAATTAAATCCCCACGCGGCTCCACCACTGATTTCAAGCTGGCTTGAGAACTGCCGTCATGAAAAAAAGTTAAGATTAACAAGTTAGAGATATTATTGAAATTGTTGCGTAAAACATAAAGAGAAGTATCTCTTTTTCTTCTTTTGTAACGGCATGGTTTGAATGAGCAAAACACTCCCATTAATACATGCCTTGAGTGATTTTGCACAGTAAGAATAAATTTTCTTTTATCTCTCCCTTTTTCTTTTCTCTTCCATCTTTCTTCCTTCCTTGTTGTGAGCATCTAATTTTTGACCATACTTGAATTTTTCCCAACTCCCTCACGTCACTTAACACACACCTTACCACCAATATAATTATTCTCTCACAACTCACACTCCTACTCTTCCTCTTTAACAACTCACACTCCACTCTTCCTCTTTAACAACTCACACAAGTACTTCCCCCACATGATCCCTCCACAAACATACATGGCACTCACAAAAGAAATGAGCTTTATCTTCACCCTAAAGACCAACAAAACCCTATATATAATTGCTGCAAAAATCAGCAACGGGGGAGGAGAGACCAGCAAAAAACGAGCTGCAAATCCAGCCCCAAAACTCCCTCAAAACAGCTAAAAAAACGAGCTGAAAACAACCCAAAAAACGAGCTGAAGACCAGTCCACCCACAGCTGCCGATAACCCCCCAAAACAGCCCCTTTTCTCTAGTTAAACACCCCCAAAAATGAGTTGGAAATCTACTACCAAACCCACCTGAAAACAGCCTTGCAACAGTCATGAAAACTAACTGAAACTTCACTCGAATCCACACCTAAAACCAGCCATGAAATCACCAAACTTCAGCCACTAAACAGCTCCAAAAACAGCTTTAAATCACCTAAAACTGTTCTCGTTTTCATCGGTCAGACAAGGCTTCTATGTCGAGGTTCCGGTTCGCAATTTCGGCGTTTTCGTCCGACGATTGTTGATTTGTTATTTCGATTGAGTTGCAAATTTTCAGCTTTATTCATCAATATAAAGGTCCATTCGAATCCATTTTTCTCAGTATTTGTTTTATATTTTTAGTATACACTTGCTTTGATATATTAGTATTTCTATCTGCTCGTGATGAATTTTATTTGCTTTATGGAAAATACTTGATCTCTTTCATATTGTTTGTGTACTAATTGCGTATTATTTGGGTTATATATTGGTTTTAAAGATTAATTCGTTTGAGTACATATAAGTTTTGTTTTGGACGATTTCTGTTAAATATGCTATGGACTTGGATTTAGTTTTCTTACATATATGGTTATGTTACATTTCTTTTGTTTTGGCATGGTGAAGTGGTGATTTAAGTGAGTTGTTAAATTGGATAGATAGAAAATTAAAGTTGTTTCTTTCTTGGCAAGGAATGAGAATAGGCCATGAGTGATGTTAAGTCAAAAGAATGTATAACTCTTAAGCATCACAATAATCCCAGACTTAGGAAAATAATTTTTGAGTATGTTAGAATGCTTTAAGCGCGCCTTAAATTAATCAAATCATCGTAGTTATGTATATGTTCGCGTGACATAATTTTAATTTTCAAAATTGAAACCGAAGTATGTGTTCGCGCAACTTTGGCCAAAAAAAATCATAATATAATAAAATACTATTAATTGTGTACACATACGTGTGATATCATTTTGGCACAATAAAAAATGAATACACACCCGTGATTCGTTTCAAAGATAATTCTATATTTTAATAATTAAAAGCGGATAGATAAAACATGAAAATCAATAAATTAAAGTTTATCCAAAATTAATTCAAGCCAAGTTGTAGTCAATGAAGCGACCGTGCTAGAACCACGAGACTCATGGAATGCCTTACATCTTTTCCTTGGTCAACAGAATTCCTTACCTGGACTTTGTTTTCGCAGACCAATAATAATGGAGTCAAACTTTCCTTTGACTAGGGATTCAAATAAAAGGTAACTTGGAACACCCAAAAATCAATTCCAAGTGGCGATTCTGTAAATAAAATAATCCCTACTCAAATTTGTTGCTTTAATTGGAAAAACTCTTTAACCCACCATCCATAATACATATTATCTTTGTGGGGTAAAAAGGAGGTGTGACAGCTCTGGCGACTCTGCTGAGGAACTTCAAGAATTCGAGCTTGTACATTGACTTTATTTGACTTTATTTGTATATATTGTGATTTATTTGGCCTAATGTGTTACTTGTCCAGCTTTTACCGTTTTGATATTGTTGAACTGTACATATAAATTGTATCCTCTCTCGCATCCCTCTGAGTCTTCTGATAATTAGTTATGTTGTGTTTGCATACCAACATCACAAAATTTCTGTCTTGAGATAAAGCCAGTTATCCTACCAGCTTCTGGTGAAGGATTTAGTCACACGTGTTTAGGAGGGAGAGCCGTTAGCTAGCCAGTGTTGTTCTACTACTGGTGACGCTTGACGCTCCTCGGCTCGGGTTGTCCATCCGGGTAAGCCAGGTCTAGATACCATCTCCTTTAGGATTTACAAACTTAGAAGAACAAGCCACAAGCAATGAATATCCCTAGTANTCGGGTTGTCCGCCCGGGTAAGCCAGGTCTAGATACCATCTCCTTTAGGATTTACAAACTTAGAAGAACAAGCCACAAGCAATGAATATCCCTAGTAGGCTACGCTTTATTTGCATCATGTGCATTTGAATTAGCAGCACT